CCCCTAATACACAACCCACTTTAGAGAATTGGCTGCAGTAAAAGCATTACAGTTGGTCTTTGCATTTCCTCAAACAACAAGCCATTTATGTGAAAGCTTTTGGACCTGTTGCTGCGTTCTCATGTCCTCTTACCAATCACCTGCTCATTGCATCCATGTGTTGGTGTTTAACAAGCTGAGCAGGATGCAGGGAGGTTGGAAGCAGGAAGGGAAGGGGGTCTGAGATCGTTGTCATTGCATGTTCCCATACAATGGTGAAATTAGTTCTTTGCATTTAACCCATCACACCTGAGATACACTCAGGTGGAGCAGTGGGCAGCTATGTAGGTGCCCTAGGAGCAATTGTGTATTAGGTGTCTTGCGCAGAGGCACCACGATGTGGGGATGGCTGTAAGTCAAACTGCAACTTTCTGGGCTGCCCTACCTCTACCCCATCTCAGGTTCCTAATGGCAACGAACCTGGCAGAAAGGAAAGTTGGAAGAAAAATGCAACAATTTTGAAGAAAAGTGCTTCATAAAGTTGGCTGCCCTGTGGATGCAACCAGCAGCGCTTGTTAAAATGCAGCCGGTGTTGACGCGTCTATCTTCGAGCAGATCTCTAATAATCACAGAAGACTTTGTCATAGAGTTCGAAAATAAACGTACACACATCTGTTCAGTTTTTTAGATTTTTCTACCTGGATTATTGAGCAGGCATCAGGACACATCTGTTCAGTATGTAACTGTCCATACGAGGCTGGCAGGTAGTGATGTGCAAGTCCTGAACACGTTCAAAACTCCCAAGTCATTTTACTGAATCAGAAGTCATGGTTCTTTTTTCCATTAACTCACTACATTTAATAATATATCAAGCAAACCACTTCATTCACCCTAAAGGAAAAGCAGCATCTATGGTTTCTTGTTTGAACTCAACTGTCCCACTATCATCCTGCTGTAAGAAATGAACAAACAAATGACTCCCGTGTGGTGGCTAAACAAATCAAATAAATGAAACTCTTGACTCACTGGTTTGAGTCAGGAATCATAAGTCTGTCTCCTGACTCGAACAAATCAAGTCAAAGTTGTACAGGCCAGTCGTTGCTTACTGCTTCTTTCCTCCTATGTCTGTAACAGTGCACGTGCTTGAGCTCCTGGAGAGTTCCTCCCTTACCTGAGTTGACAGTTTGCATTTATGGACATCATGCCAATGCCAGAGTATTTCCCCTGAAATAATTCCCTCTTTTTCCACAATGAAGTGGACCATTTCCCTGTTTAATCAATGAGTGTAGCTGTTTGAATCAGGAGAGGCTGGGAATGGAGCAGTGGATTGGGACAATCACTCAAAAAACAGATTTTATATTGAGTGATTAAACTTAGGCAGCATGGTGGCGCAACTGGTAGAGCTGCTGCCTCTCAGCGAGAAGGTCCTTGGTTCAAACCCTGGTCCAGGGGCCTTTCTGGGTGGAGTTTGCATGTTCTCTCCATTCATGCGTGGGTTTTCTCCGGGTGCTCCGGTTTCCTCCCACAGACCAAAAACATGCATGTTAGGCTGATTGGTGACTCTAAATTGTCTCTAGGTGTGAGTGAGAGAGTGAATGGTTGTTTGTCTCGTTTGTCTCTGTAAGGATGGTACTATTTACTGGCTCTGTTTGTGTCTGTGTTTCCCTTGTGTCTTCTCTTCAGTTTAATTGGTGTCACCCTTGTCTCGTCACAGCTGTTTGTAATCACGTCTTGTCTTGTCCTTGTATAAAAGCTGTCTGTTCTGTGTTGTTCCTCGTCGGGTCGTATTCGTTGGGTCTCCTGTGTTCTCCTGCGTCTTCTGAGTCTTCCCTGAGTTTCCTGAGTCTTCCCTGAGTTTCCTGAGTCTTCCCTGAGTTTCCTGAGTCCTCCCTGAGTTTCCCTTTGAGCCATCCGTTTTCATGTAAGTCTTGCTGCCACGTCAGCTATTATTTTGTTCTTTATTTTCTATTAAAATACTTATTTTTGTAATCTGCCGAGTTGAGTCCTGTCTGCACTACTGGGTTCGTTCCTGACCACCAAATCCTGACAGTCTCTATGTGTCCCTGTGATGGACTTGCGACCTGTCCAGGGTGTACCCCGCCCCTCGCACAGTGATTGCTGGACATGGGCACCAGCGACCCCCGTGACCCAAAATGGAAAAAACGGGTAAAGATAATGGATGGATGGATGATTAAACTTAAATGAGTAAATAGAATAAAACTTCCCAATACTAATTCTGTTTTATAAAAGCTCCAAACAGGTTTTAAAAAATATATTTTCTATCCCAAAGGTGTCAGAAGGTTGGTGTGTTCATTAACATGTTCTGAATACCATTTATCTGGGCCAGGGAGGTGGGCAATAAGGGAGTTTAAATCAGGTCAAGGCTGTTTTTAATCTCTATCAGGGGATACATCATCATTCTTAGTGATGAAATAGGGAATAAATGATTTGTGAATCAGTAAAATAGAAACTACATTTAAACATTGTCATACAGTTTGTTTCCTCTACATGAAATTCAAAATTAGCAGGCAAACACAAATGTTCTATTCTTCTTTACCTGTTCGGGTCGAAGGCCGGGTGGTACCCAAGCGTACTCCTCCAACACGCAGCCCGAGTCATCATCAGATGTGGAGCTGCGCTGAAAGCCAGAAGTCAGCTTACTGACTTTCTGCTCCATCATAAAGTCTCGCTGGTGACCCTGGAAGCTGACCGCTGGTCCTGCTGCGCTCATCAGGCTCATCAGATTCGTTTTTTTACTAAACAGACAAGGAAAGAAGAGAGGATTAGAAGTAAAGAAAATAAAAAAATAAAAAACTCATTTTACCATCTAATCGAGTTCTCTCATGCGAGGCCTTTTCAAGCTAAAGTTAGCCAAATGACATCACTGCCTCTTTCATGAGGCTCCCCTCACAAAAAAGGTCATTATGGTATCAGAACAAGCCTTTCTTAGCTCACTTCTGGCTGATGAGTCTTACAACTTAAAGACAATCACGAAGTAAACTACACCCTTTCAGTTTGACCGTGGCAGCAGCCCAACTTGCGTCCTTCTCATGTGGATTTTGTGGACGAAGAAACCACCAGGAAGTTCCCAACAAACATCATGAGGTAATGTCCAATCTTAGTATGGTGGCACTAACAAGCAGTTTCACATCATTTTATGTAGTTAGGGTTCACATAACTGAAATGCTACATCACCCTCTGCCCCAGTAGACCACATAGGGCCGGATGCTGGTTTGTTCAGTTGAGTCTTAGGTCTGTGTAAACACAGGGCTGGTTTGAAGACAGGTTCACCAAATGGGAACTGTCCACAAACCTGTGTCTCTATTCATCTTCACTTTTTCTTTGGCCTGTTTGTTTTCCAACCTGCTGCAGCAGCGAGTGTCTCACCGTTTTCTTGTCGTTAAGTTAAACAAAGACATTCATGTCTGACAGGTGAAGTCGTGGGGAAAGGGAAGGTTGGTTCTGGTACTGACGACATACCAACAAATGAATACAGAAACCTAGTTTAACAACAACTCAATAATCTAGGACTCATCATATCAGCAAACTCATTTAGACCCAGTTATTCTTGAATTTCATTAACAGCCTGGCTACAGCAAAATGCAGATTCTTGCCCTAAATGATCCTTATTTCCCATACCTGCCTTGTTCAGGGCTGTGGCAGGGCTAGAGCCCAGAGGTGACATGAATCAGGGTACATCTTACCAGGAAAAATTACTGTGAAAAATCACTGTGAAAATTGCTGTAATGCTGCTTGATTGTTGATATGTGCTGCTGACTATCCATGCTGCTGATCTCATGCTGCTGATCTCATGCTGCTGATTATTTCATATTGCTGTGTTCATTAGTCCTCATCAGCTCACACAGACTCATGTTTGGGCTGCTGTTGTTTTGGCAAATTGTCTTTGTACCATTAGTGCTTAGTGTATTCTTAGTTTAGTGAATGTACTGTAGTATATTCTTAGTTCATAACTCGGATCTTATTACTGTTTTTCTTTACAAGTTGTGTTTTTGTTGTATGTAACTGGGACCTTGTGTACATAGTTTCGTGACTTTCGTCCCACCTCATGTATCATGTGTGGTATGTATGACAAATAAATCTCTCTGACTCTGATCATGGACTGACTGTCAAGACATTAAAAAGCCAACACAAAAATATTTTCACTCTTAAAGTCCATTTCGAATCAACAAAAGCCAGAATACATGTTGCAAATCCATTCATCCCCAAGAAAACCAGACAACCCACCACGTTGATATTTGTAACAGGATTTTTTTTTTTTTTTTTTTTTACTGTATACTTCTTTTAGAAAAAGCAAAATACTCAAGCATCTTTTTTATCAAATGTGACTAAAATTCAGCTGATCTCAGCACATTAAAAAACAATCCTGCCTGTATTTCCATGATTTATTGCTAGGAGAGCTTTCAGGAACCAAGCCAGCGTGGGGATGATGAACGTAAGTCCAGTTGTGGTTGCTTCTCACAGGCGACGGTCTCTGGCTGAGATCAAACAAGAGCCCAGTCAGAGTCCAGCAGCCTGGCCCTGGTCACCTCCCTCAATGCCTCCACCCCCCATGGCTGGCAAGGGCACAGAGGGCTGCAGGGAGAGACAGCTGAGAAAACCTGATTGCAGCCTTTGAAAAAAAAAAGGCCTAAAAGTCTTGATATTTGCCTGAACACTTTTGTAAACTAATTCATAAATACTTGGAACCAGACGGCTTCAAGCTAAATGATTCAGGCAGTTATTGGTTATGTCAGCTTATCTTCCTGTGACGTTCACCTGTGGCGGAAAACATTACGTATTGTTTCAGCTCAGGTGGATTTAGTCAAGCCATGTCCCATTAAACTGCCTCTGATGCTCTCGACCATGGCTCCTTCATAAAAGTTTCCACTGGAGACGATGAATCAAGAGCGTGGTAACTGAGATAACCTGCATTCAGCCAACAGCACAGTAAATGAGACGCTTTCTTGTCCCAGTTGAATCTATTGACTTGCAAATGAGTCCAAAACAAATTTCAAAATGTGGTCTTGTTTGAGAGCAGATTGTGTTTCACGTGGGAGATGTCTTGATCTAAGAATTCACAACTTCACATTTTATCAGGCATTGAATGAGTCATGATAAGTCTTGTGCTGTGAAAGATGTTTAGTTTCAGAGTTGCCTAAAAACGTTGCACACATCCAAAACAGGCACGTCAGTCTTTTAACCAGGCTTCCTGCCCCTTTCTCATACAGCCAGATTTGCATGAATGTCACTATTTTTTTAAGACACCCAGTTGTTTCCTCTGACTTTGCTTCCTTTACAGCATGAATGACAGGAGCAATGCAGCCTCTAATATAAGCATGATTTTACTGACTCATCACTGGTCCTGGTTGTCAGAGTTTCCTTCAAAACAATACATCTATAGTTTGAGGAAAATGCTTTTTCAAAACATCTCCCCTCCTCAATCTCTGTCCCCCTGTTCCAGCTCTCCTCCCACACTTACCAGACCCCTGCAGTCTTGAATGTTTAACAGTCCCTTTACTCTTTTGTAAAGGTGCTTGTTAACATGGCTTTAGGAGCTGCAGGCCTGCATATTTGTCTGATCTGCCCACGGAGAAGAAGAGGGGTGGTTGTGGTGGTGGGTGCAATCACAAGCTTAATCATAGCTTACATAGGGTACACAATTTATTGTTCACAAAAGAAAAGGTAGTTCAAGTAATAACCTTAATCAAATTCTTGCTTTGAACAGTTTCAGCCAACACAGATCTGACAGCAAACATCTGAAAAGATGCTTGTGTTTTACTTTTAAAAAAAAAAGCACACTGAAGCATATATTCCTGCTCTTTACTTGACATGAGCTCAGTGAATGTGTCCAAATATGATTGACCAGAGAACAAAATAGCCACTTTCTCACTGACCCTGCAGAGACCAGTCCCTGGCTGTGCTGTCTGACTCAACAGCATGTGTTAACTGCAGTGGCTGAGTTATTTATTGTTCAGTGGCACACAGACTCTCAAAGGACTTTATACTGCAAAAGAATAATAAATACCAAAAACAGGGACACTTTAAAACAGGATTCAACTAGATTTAAGTATGTCGCCCTCAACAAATCCAGACATATAAGACTTGGATTTACAACCCTAGAGGAAGAGCACAGGAGGAAACACAGGTAACTTGTAGTCTGAATTACTGTCTCTATTCCTGTAGGAAGTGGGTGATGGACATGCTCACAGCCCAACACAGTGCTCTCTGTCAGTTTGGAACAGCTAGCATGTTTAACTTGGCCTCTGCTAGCTCAGTGATGCAGGACAGACTCTAGCCAGAGAGAAAGCCAAGAATTTCTCTGCTGTAAACCTGCTTACCTGAGAGTGAGCTCAAACAAATGGGTTTATTTTTAAAGTCAGACAAGGTAGAACAAATATGCAAGACATGAAAGGTTTCCCTGTACATACAAATATACACACACATATATATAAAGTTAATCTGTCAATGTTTGGCACTTCATTATATCTTCTTCTAAAATAGAGTCTATATGCTGCAGGCAAGAGCTGATCTGTTACAGTTACATCCTTATGTGAACCATAAGCCTATGCAAATTCCAGTTCAAATATATAAAATGATCTTCATATCCCCAATATAAATAAAACAACCCATACACACAAAACCAGCAGTTTTAACCTTAAAATGTTGCAGACAAATGAGAGGAGCTCAACATTGAGGTGTTGCAGAGTTGGACTCTGACCCGTCTTTATGACCAGAGGAGTATTTTTCCTAAACCAAATGGATGGAAGGGATGTCCTTAACAATAGCTTATGATAGTGAGACCACCTACTGATCACACACCTCTCATGTTTAGTGCTGTCACAAACACACTGGTGCACGAGAGATGAAGTGACGGGCACCAAAGATCAGGCATAAAGCCAAACTGGCAGTTAGAGCTGATTCTTCTGAGGAACCAGTTTGTATCTGCCGCAGTTTTCTAGCTGTTCTTACCTCAAAGTGGACCAACTTTACAAAGGCAAGCAGGAAAATGATCTTATCACAACTGCATCCAGTCTTGCATTCCTCCCCAGCCTCTTGGGTCCATGTCTATGCAAGGTCCATTGATTTCTGAATCCAGGACAGGATCAGTGTTCTCCAGCAGAGCTGTCAGCACAGGAACAGCCCATATCAAAGCCAAGTCTGTGAGAAGTCAGGGAGATGTCTGAGTGCACGGGAAAGTGTGTGTGTGAGAGAGAGAGGTGTGCATGTGTGCGTGTACATGAGAAACCCCAACCAGATGGTCATCCCACCCTTGTTTCTCTATCAGCCTCCAGTCCTCCTCTTCCTCCCCCCACGGCCTTCTTCACCCTCAGCCCGGCCTCCTCAACATCTGAGCAGCCAGTCAGGGCGGGGTATGACAGAGCAGGCGTTTTCTCTCTCAGAGACCCCTCCCCTCATGCACATTCTCACAAATTACAACCACCGGCAGAGCTCTGAGGGACTGGGCTTTAAAGTAGCACATCAGTGATGGCAGGGCTCGTTTTACTGCGGTTACCGCTTTGTATCCACAACTGCTTTCACATGGCATTCCTTATCCCCCTCGCTCTGTTACAAGGAAATGTAACCGTTAGGTTTAGGTTTATTCAGTCGTGTGACTTTACTTGTACTAAAAAGTCACCAAGTAACAAGCTTGCTGATTCACAACTTGAAAGAGTGGTTGCCAGAAGCAGATAAATAAAGGTTTTCATTAATACTACAAGAAAAAAATCCTATTTTCAGTATTTTAAGTTGACCTCAGGTAT